AAAATCAAACATTATACTTAATTATATTATCTAGAAACATTCGATTAAGAAATAATTCTTAGCAAAATAATATTCAAATATTTTGTTCAATTCATAGGAAAAATTTTTTAGTTGATTATATCATTGAGAAATATTCGAGTAAGAAATAAATCATAGCAAACAATTATTCAAATATTTGATTGCATTCAAAGTTAAATGTTATATTTGATTATATCATTGAGAAACAATTGATAAAGAAATCATTTCTAAGAAATAAATATTCAAATATTTTATTCAATTCAAAATAAAGATTTATAGTTAATTTTATATCATTAAGAAATACACGAGTAAAGAATAAATTATAGCAGAAAATTGTTCAAATATTTTATTCAATTCAAAACAAAAATTTGAAGTTAATCATATCAATGCAAAACATTTATTTCAAGAATAATTCACAGCAAATAGCTATTCAAATATTTTGTTTAATTAAGAGCAAAAAATTTGTAGTTAATCATATCATCGAAAAATAAACGATCAAAGAATAATTCAAAGCAAATAACAACTCGAATATTTTAATTCAATTCAGAGCAAAGATCTACGGGTAATTATATCATTGACGAACATTTGACAAGAGAATAATTCATAGCAAACAACTATTTCAATATTTTAGTTCATTCGAAGGAAAGATTTGTAGTGAATTATATAGTTAAGAAACATATGAGTAGAGAATGATTTAAAGCAAACAATTATTCAAATATTTTGTTGTATTCAAAATCAAGAATTCTAGTTGATTATATAAGGAAGTAATACTCAATCAATGAATGATTTTTAGTAAACAATTATTTGAATATTTTTTTCAATTCAAAGCAAAGATTTCTAGTTGATGATGTCATTGAGAAATACACAATCAAGAAATATATCATAAGAAAAAACTTTTCCAATATTTCGTTCAATCCAAAACATAGAGTTATAGTTGATTATACCAAATCAGAAACATTCAATTAAAGAATAACTCATAGAAAAGAATTATTCGAATATATTATTCAATTCATATCAAAGTTTTATAGTTTATTATATCGTCAAGAAACTCAAGATCAAGAAATAACTTATAAAAAACAAATATACAGATATTTTGTTTGATTTTGAGAAAAGATGTATACTGAATTATATAGCCGAAGAAACATTCAATCAATGAATAGTTCATAGCAAATAATTATTCAAATATTTCGTTAGATTCGCAACAAAAGGTTTGTACATGATCATATTATCCAGAAATAGACGATCAAGGAATAACTTACAGCAAATAACTATTTAAATATTTTGTTTGATTAAAAGCAACGATTTGTATTTGATAATATTATGAAGGAAGATTCAATCGAAGAATAAATCTTAAGAAACAATTATTCAAATATTTTATTTACTTGAAAAATGTAAGACTTATAGTTGATAATATCATCAAACAACATAACATTAAGAAATATCTTGTAACAAAAATTTATTGGAATATTTTGTTCAATAGAGAGTAAAGATATTTAGTTGATTATATCATCGAGGAACATACCATCAAGGAATAATTCATAGCAAACAATTAGTCAAATATTTTGTTCAATTCAAAGTAAAGATTTGCCGTCAAACATATATTCCACTAACATTTCATCAAAGAACGATGCATAAAAGACAATTATTGAAATATTTTGTTCAATTCGAAGGAAAGATTTATATTTCATAATGTCATTCAGAATCATCAGATTGAGAAATAAATCATAAGAAACAACTAGTCAAATATTTTGTTCAATTGAAAACAAAGATTTCGAGTCAATTATATCATTGAAGAATACTTAATTAAGAAATAATTGATAAGAAATGACTGTACAGATATTTTATTTTATTCGAAGTAAAGATTTTGAATTGAATATATGAATGATGCTGAAACCGGAAACGTTGTGATAAACGAAAAAATCTTATGTATGTTCCATATTTGACGCAGTAAACGCTTCGCATCTGTATTTTCAATGGCGCTTGATTGTGCAATGTATATTATTGCTGCCAATACAATAAAGGCTATCCAACACATCATTATGCTTCGTTGTTTCATTATCAATATTTGCTTATCGATAATGGAGTAGTGCGTAGTGGATGAATATAAACAACTAGTCGAATGGTTTGATCGTATAATTATGATCAACTATATACACTCGTTGGCTGCGTAGCAACGAGAAGTTTTGTAAAAATATACTTTCTTTCGATAGATTGTGGGAGAAATAGCTTGGTTTCGTTTTTTTGCGCTCACATTGTGATTTTTTTTTCTCAAAAAGCAATGGTGCATATCATCGTCAATGTAGAAAAAAAAAATCGTGTATACATTTTTATTGTGATGTCTTTCTATGCATATAAAACCTTGAGACGTATATGCATTGAAATAGTCCTGTTCATCGTTTTGCTTTTCTATTGTTATGCGATAG